GTTAAGGTAATTTAAAAATTCAACAAACAGGAACTGGACTTGCTGCTAATTCTGGGTGTGTCAGTCTCCCTTTTCATCCCTATCTTTCGTCCTGGGTCTTATTCCTCACCACAACTCCGCCTAGACTAGCTCTCCATTCAGCTCAGGTCGTTAGGGAACTGGTAAAAATTAACACCCTCCAAAAAGCAAACATAGCAGCTACTCCTGCCCCCCCACCCCCGCACTCCCCCCTGCCCTTTGTCAGAGGGCCACGGGAGTTAAGAATCTGAAATGTCCAGTACAGGCAGGAACTGCTCAGACCCAACCATCCTCAGGCAGTGACAAGCCTTCTTTGCTCTGCCAATGTCCCTGCAGTTGATTTAATACTGGCACAGGAAGCTTTGGAGTTGACTATTATTTAACAAAAGAAAGGGAGAAAAATGGCAATAAGACACTCGTACATGCTTGGCAGCCAAGAAGAAACCTCACCATCCGCAGTCAGGTGCTGTTGGAAGGCAGATTCAGCGATCCGGAAGGGCTAGAGAGCAAGAGGGGACTGTTTTATTAAAGGTTTATGTTATGAGGCTTAAGGAGGAAAACTGAATATTTAGCCTGGACATGAGAACATGTAAAAGAGCGGGGATTTGTTTTCTTTGAGTCAAAAAGCGTTATTTTGGGAAATGTGGCTGCTAGCTGTTCCCTCCTTCCATGTGGTCAGGTTGAGAAGAACCGGGATTAAGTTGCAGTGGGTGAGATGAAAGTTAAACAACCAGTATTCAAGTGTTCTAAGAGCTGATGTTGTGTTACAGTGGATTAGCAAAAGGAGGAAACAAACCAGATATTAAGAGGTATGGACTCTGGGGCTGGCCAGCCTGGCTTAGATCCTGGCTTCAGCACTAACTTGTTCTAGGACCTTGAGCAAATTACTCCACCTCTAAGCTTCAGTCACCTCAGCTATAAAATGGGGATAGTGTACTCACTTCCTCATAGGATTGTTTTTAAAATTAAAAGAGATAGTACAGATAGAGTACTTTAAACAGCAGCTGACATGTATTAAGGGCTGTATATTTAATAAATTTAATTACATGAATGGTGGCAAGGATTTTAGGGTCATTTGGGCCAACAATTCATTTTACAGATTAAGAGGCAATAACAGGAGGTGAAATTGAGGTTACAAGCCTTTCTGCAGATCCCAGGCTGTTCTCAGTACTCCTAGCTGTTACAGAAATACTCATTGCTTCAGAAGCATATCCCTTTAGGTTCCCCTTTCATCCCTTTCCCCAGAGCCAGCATTTCTTGAGTAATTCCTGTGCTAAATTCCCTGTGCTAAATGCTGATGTATGTGACCTCATTTCATCCTGACAGTAACATGTGACGAAGATGCCGCTGTTATCCTCATTTTTTTTTTAAGATGTATCATCTAAATTTCAGAGAGATCCAGTTACTTTCTAAGGACACACAGCTTGAAAGAGGCAAAGTCTGAGTTAGAACGAAGACTGACACCAGAGCCTGTGTTGTTAACCATGGCACAGATTTTCCTCAGAAAATCTCAGTAGAATACAGATGAGCTAAGTTAAACCAACCATTGCCTCAGCAGCCACAGGGCCCAGCCATAAAGATCTGACACCGTTTACTAATCCCTTTTCAACCTGTAGTCTGCTTTGTTTTCAGACATAGGTCTCTCAGGTGTATAATTTCTGATACAGTGCTGTTAATATGAAAACAGTTCACCAAAAGAACTTCTCTCCCTGCTTAAGAGAATGAAAGTCAAAGGTCCTGGAGCAGTCTCATGGAGGCCAGACCCAGGGCTTTCATGAGGTAGGGACCATGTCAGGGGTCATCAGGACTCTGGGCAACACTGGGGTCACTGCCAGGATCCAAGTAGACCAGAGAAAGTGAGTCACATATCGGAATTCCCAGCTAGACCAATGGTTCCTTACCTCCTTCAATCCCTGTAAGACTCCGATGACAGTCATGACTCTTCCCTCTTCAGAGGGGTGTGTGCAAGCTCACACACCAAAAACGTGTTATCAGGTGGCTTCAGGGTTCGTAAACTCCAGCTAAAAACCTCCGTGTTAGGCAGCAGAGTAGACTGCTTAGGAGCACTGCTCTGGTGCCAGGTGGCCTGGATTCAAATCCTTTTCTTTCACTTACTAGCTGTGCAGCCTTGAGTAGAGCTTCACCTCCCTCAACCGTAAAATGAGGCTAATAATAGTATTTGATTAAAGGGTCATTGTGAGGATTAAACAGTTTACGTGGTTAGCTCTCTGGCCGTATTCACTATCAGCGGTAGTAGCATTGCTGTCCCCAGAGCTTAGCCCATTCAGTAAATGTGTATGGACAGAAGGAATGAATCATCCTGGTGGAGATGCCAAGTCTAGCATACGACATCCCAACCAGTGTCACAGATGGGCTGTAGTTGTGTCAGGAGACTTTCACACTCAGCTTTGAACCACCAAAGCTCTCGCTGGTTGCTCATGGCTTCAAGCAGCAGCACCCGAAGTGTGACATACAGATATCCTCTCTGGGTGCTCTGATTGAGAAGCTCAGCCGGCAGCTAGGAAGAATCCAGTAGGCCATGCAGACTCCAAGTCCAGGAGAGTCCTCTGATGGGTGGCAAGGAGAACCTTGCCCTGGAGCAGGGCTCCGGTACACTTCGTCTGCCAGTCGGACGCGTCAGAGCTTCCCTGCTGGCATAAGGACCGGCGAGTCACAGCTCCAGGATTTGTGGAGAGCCCACAGTGAACCAGGAACTCGAAGTCTTATGTAGGCAACATGTGCTAAAGAGAGATAGGCATGTGACCCTGGGACTCACAGGAAAACGTAGTGGCCGGGCTGCAGGAACTTCTGAGGGGACCAGCCTTGCCTGCAGGGTGAATGAATTCTTAGCATGATAGGAAGCCACTGAAGAGTTTTAATCAAGGAAGTAGTAGGTTTAGATTTGTACTTAAAGGAAAAAAAAGGCATTCTGACACAAAATTTGAGTGAGAAACAGGCAAGAATTTATTGAGGACATATATTAGGAGGGTCTTACATTAGTCAACAGGTGAGAGGTGATACTCACCTGGAATTAGGTACCTTGACTTTCTTGTCTGTCTTCTAATTATTTAAATCGAGGTATAATTGACATGCAACATTATATTTGTTTCAGGTGTACAACATGAGGCAGTATCTGTATATTGTGAAATGATCACCACAGTCAGTTTAGTAACTAACAGCCAGCACCATATGCAGTTACAGAATTTTTTTCTTGTGCTAAAACTTTTAAAATTTATTCTCTTAGCAACTTTCCAATATGCAATACAGTATGATTAACTGTAGTCACCATGCTGTGCGTTACACCCCTCAGGACTTACTCTATAACTGGGAGTTTGTACCTGTCACTCGAGTTACTCGTTTCACCTACCCCACCCCTGCCTTTGGCAGTCACCAATGTGTTCTCTGTATCTATGAATCTATTTTTTTTTAAGGATTCCACATATAAGTGAGATCATAACAGTGCTTATTTTTTCTCCGCCTGACTTATCTCACTTAGCGTAACGTCCTCAAGGTGCATCCATGTTGTTGAAATGGCAAGATTCCATTCTTTTTGTAGCTGAATAATATTCCTCTGTGTGTGTGTGTGTGTGTGTGTGTGTAGCTCCTTCTTTATCCATTCACCCATCTGTGAACACTTAGATTGTTTCCGTGTCTTGGCTATTGTAAATAACGCTGCAATGAATATGGAAGTGCATATATCTTTTCAAGTTAAGGTTTTTGTTTTCTTTGGATAAATGCACAGAAGTGGGATTGCTCGATCAAATGGTAATTCTACTTTAAATTTTTTGAGGAATCTCCATACTGTTTTCTATAATAGCTACACCAATTTACATTCCCACCAATAGCACACAAGGGCTCGCTTTTCTCCACATCCTTGCCAAAACTTTTTTTCCTGTCTTTTTGGTAATAAACCATTCTGATAGATATGAGGTGATATCTCATTATGGTTTTGATTTGCATTCCACTGGTGATTAGGGATGTTGAGCATCTCTTCATGTACCTACTGGCCATAGAAAGCTGTCTATTCATATCATCTGCCTGTTTTTTCAGTTGGAGTGTTTGGCTTTTTGCTACTGAGTCATTTGAGTTCTTTGTGTATTTTGCATATTAGCCCCTTATCAGATACAGGATTTGCAGATATTTTTCCCATTTAATAGGTTGCTTTTTCATTTTATTGATGGTTTCCTTTGCTTTGCAGAAACTTTTTAGTTTTTTACTCCCAATTGTTTATTTTTGTTTCCTCTGCTTTTGGTGATAAATTCCAAAAAGAAATCATTGCCAAGACTGATGTCAAAGAGCTTACCACCTGTGTTTTCTTCTAGAAGCTTTATGGTTTCAGGTTTTAAATTCAAGTCTTTAATCCATTTGAATTAATTTTGTATATGGTATAAGATGGTGGTATTCCTAGACTTCTGAGGATAAAGGAGGAATCAAGAATGACCCCACTGGGAATCCCCTGGTTGTCCAGTGGTTAGGACTCTGTGCTTTCACTACAAAGGGGCTAGGATCAATCCCTGGTCAAGCCACTAAGATCCTGCAAGCTGCATGGCCCCCCAAAAAGAATGACCCCACTGATTCTGGGTGAACGGATGGATCTGAGCACAGGAGAGATGTTAGAATGGTCACAGAGAAACAGCATCAGCGGAGTTGGCCACCTGCCTTCCGTGGGTCTCCCTTCTAGGGGAGTGAATTCAAAAGTGGGTTTTATAAACAATATTGACATGTTTATTTCTTATTTATTTGGCTGCACTGGGTCTTAGTTGCGGTATGCAGGATCTTTAGTTGTGGTGTGTGGTTTCTAGTTCCCTGATCAGGGTTCAAACCCTGGCCATCTGCTTTGGGAGCACAGAGTCTTAGCCACTAGGCCACCAGGGAAGTTCCTAAAAGTGGGTTTTGACTAATGAAATCTTACTTTACAACCAATTTGGCTGGCATGTTTCTCTTGAATGCTCAGTCTTTAGAATTCTTAAATGTGTATATTTCGAACTCTTTTAATAAAAGCCAACATAGTTCTCTACTTTGAAGAATTCGTCTCTTTTTCTTTTTCTTCTTGGCTGGCCTCATTCACTCTCCCTGTGTGTCCTTGCAGCAGGAGGAAGCCATGCAGCTCATAATATGACACTGTTCATTTTCTCAGATTTGTGACGCAAAAGGAAATCTCTAGCCTCAGCTGTGGCTCCGGTGCTGGGAAGAAGCCAACTTCATGTCTGAGTGCACGGGCAGGAGTTTGCCATGGAGAGCTTGGGGCTGCAGACGGTGACCCTCAGTGATGGGACAACGGCCTATGTCCAGCAGCAAGCTGTTAAAGGTATTTCCACGGACCTCAGAATCCCACCCTGTCCCGGTCCAAGAGTCTCAACGACCACCCTGCCCTCTTGCCTGCTTGCCACAACTTGCTCTGCATGGGAATCTCAAAGTGATTGATAAAAAAGTAACTCTAAAATATAATGCCACCTAGGGAGGCTAGAAAATCAAATTAGCCTAGCTACAGGAGCCAAGATTCCCTTATGTGTGGTAAGAAATTGATAAGTATTTCTGGCATGGATGAACACAGTGCTGCTTGTGACTTCCTGCTTTTCAAATATTCCCTATCCAGTTTTCTCAGTTCTTTCTAGAAGCAGTTCATTTTAATTTAAGCAAGTTTAAGCAATCAAACTATCTTCTGAGCATACACCATGTATAACATATACTCTTTAGGTTCCAGGTAAGGGGGTCACCCAAGCATAGATCTCATGCCTTAGGCCCCACTAGGGTGACCAGAAAAAATGTACAGGACACATAGTTAAATTTTAATTACATATGAACAATGAATAATTTTGTAGTGTAAGTATGTTCCAAATATTGCATGAGAAAGCTATGTATAAACATAAGATTAAATACTAAAAGTAGTAACATAGTAACACCAAGAACTAAAAAAAAACCTTCATTGTTTATCTGCAATTCAGATTTACCTGAAATTCAAATTCTCAAGGAACTTAAATTCAAGGGGGCATGGAGTCAGAACAGAGCATTGTTGAAAAGCAGGGCCTTCTGGCCAGGACACTCACTGTCCTGACAAGTTCCTTCTTTTCGCCAGCATTTACAGGCACGCCAGATGGCATGTGTGTCTTTCTTGGACAGCACTGGCCAAACACTGCCTCATTCCTTCTCTATATTTTGCCTTTTCTGGACTCTGTGAGCACTGCAGTCCTCATTTCTCCAATGTCATTGCAGCATTGCCCTCCTTAATTTCAACACATTCTCAAGATGTATTTCAGGTCCCAAGCTTATAAATTGTTGATTTCATGTTAAATCGGCTGCTTCCTGATGACAACAAAGAGGCTCCTTAATAGCATTGGTAGGCTCTTTCCATGTGATGACGTGTGGAGCTGGCTGGCTTTGTTTTCTTGAGGATGGACTTCTCTAGAACACTTTTGAAGCCTGCAGCCTTCTGTTTGCAGCCTTCCCATCAGAGGTCTTTGCCCTCTCACAGCAGTCTCAGTGGGATGGAAGAACTCAGGACCTTTCGATCAGGCTGCATTTAGTCTGTGGACCCGGGTATTTCCTTTGCCTCAGTCTTCTGTTACGAATTAATGGTTGAATGAATGAAAAAAAAAAAGTGGCTTCGCTTGGCCTTGGAAAGCCACTCTCTTCTTATGTCTTTCCTTCTTATGTCTGGATGATCTCTTTACCTGCCCATTTATATCTTCTCCTGTCACTCTTCCTGGCTCTGTTCTCTCCTTCCTCCATGGTGCTATAGTGTGTCCTTACATGCATGCACACACACACTCACACCCAGCAGATTTCACAGTGCTTAGAGTAGAGCTGGCCTTGAGGAACCAGAGCTTCACTGTCCTGAAAGGCAGCGCTCTTGCAGGTGAGCGCCTCTGATGCTCTCAACCAGCGCACTTTCATCTCTGTCAGCAGGCAGCTCTGTCTGGGCCCAGCTCAGCCAGTCGGAAGCCCTCAAATGTGATGAGACTTACCTATAAACAGGGTAAGCATGAAATGTGTTATTCAAAGCTGACACTTTGGAGAGTGGAAGAACATGCTATGAATAAAGGCACTGGGACCATTCCAGGCAGAATGGAACTTCCAGTCACCTCTGCAGTGGGGCACGAGGCCTTTGACAGTCAGCTCTTCTCCCTACCACCAGCACCCCACGCCTCTCCCCATTATCATCTCTGCGTGTTAGAAGAAGTTCTAGGTTGAGAATTTTCCCTTAATAACTCTTCTTGGCATTTTGTTTCCTGCCTTGCAGCAGTACCCACTCTCCTAGCAGAAGCTCTGCTGAACTTTCAGATCCCCAAGTACTGGTGCCCTTGGCAGGGCAGCTAAAGTGTTCAAAGGCAGGGTAGCCTGCTGCTTGCTGGGCAGGATGGAAGAGGGGGTTGCTCTCCCCTTGTCTCAACTGCATTTCTCTCCTGCTTCCTACCTTTGTCCCCACCTTACCTACCTCTGGCTGGGTTGTAGAACTGTGAGTTACAGACCCAAGAAAACTCAAGTTTGGGGACAAGTTTGGGAATTCTTCTGAACGGTAGACATCAGCAGAGGTGAGGGAGAAGTAACTGTCTGGTCTTAAAACTTGTAACTAAATGAACAAAGAAACCACTTGTCATTGAGTCTTCAGTCTCCCTTCTTCCCTTTCTCACTTCCTTTACCCCTTCTCCCTCTCAGACTCCCTGGACATAAGGAGAGGCCTATATAATTCTAAATCTAAGAGCCTTTTGCTCTTAGAAGAGGAAACGGAGGCACAGAGAAGTTAAATAAGTTGTCTGAGATCACACAGCTAGTAAGAGGTAGAGCTGAAATTCAAACCCAGGAGGTCTGGACTGGTTGTAGAGCCTTTGCTTTTTTGTGTGGGTGGAGGTGCTGTCCTGGGTCTTTGTTGCCGCACAGGCTTTTCTCTGGTTGCAGCGGGTGGGGACTGCTCTAGCTGCAGTGGCTTCTCTTGTTGCAGGGCTCTAGGGCACTCAGGCTTCAGTAGTTGCTGCGTGCGGGCACATTTGTGGCTCCTGGCTCAATAGTTGTGACACACGGGCGTAGGTGCTCCATGGCATGTGGGATCTTCCTGGACCAGGGATCAAACCTGTTTCTCCTGCACTGGCAGAGGGATTCTTTACCATTGAGCCACCAGGGAAGCCTCAGAGCTCATTGCTTTTAACCTGTAAGTTATCCTGCCTTATCAAAGGGTCTCGTTCTTGGCATACTGCCCCAGTGGGAGACAAGGGAACGTAGTTTGATTTAGTTAATATGAGTCAGATCTGAATTTGGATCCATTTGGGGCCTTTCCAGATTTCAGGGAATCCTTTGTTTGCCGCTTAGCTCAATCTCAGCAACTTACTGCCAGGTTGGAAGTCCCTGCTTTGTGTGGCATGGGTAGAATAATAAATGAAGTTGCTCCTCCTATGAGTGACAGAAGGGGAATCTTCTGGGAGCTGTAGGGTTCTTCATGGCATGATGTCTCTACCTCGGTACCTCTGAGGCCCAGGTCTGGGAGGCAGGGAGTGAGGTAACTTGGAGAATGTCTAAGCTGTGCTTAGACGCGCAGACTCTGCCTCCAACAGGCCTCTACTAAAGCAGGCAAGTGTTCCTCAGCCCTCTTCTGGGCCTGGCGCAGGCCCACTTCTCTCCATTTCTGCCTCCACAGGAGACAAGCTTCTTGAAGGGCAAGTGATCCAGCTCGAAGATGGGACCACTGCATACATTCACCAAGTGGCAGTGCAGAAAGGTGAGGGCATCCCGGACGCCCCTGCCACATGAGGGAGGCCAAGCAACCTCTGCCAGAGGGGCCCTGCTCCCCGACCCCAAGCTCCGGAGAAAGGCAGGCGTTGCTCTCATTACAGAACCTCTTTCCTTTGAGGATGGACAACCCGTGCAGCTGGAAGATGGCAGCATGGCCTACATACACCGCACACCTAAAGGTGGGGTCACAGTCCTCATGACTGGGGAGAAGGAAGGGAGGCAGAACTGGCCGTGGTCGGGGGATAGCATTGTGCACCCTGGGAGCTGGGGCAGAGACATGGAGCCGTGGGCCTCACGCTCACCTGGATTGGCAGGCACCCCTGCCTTCCCTGGTGTGGACCGCAGGAGCAGCTGCTTCTGCCCCTCAGATGCTGAGCCTGGGAGTCCATGGCCTGGGCCTGGCAGCTTTGGCTCCAGCACAGCCACAAAGTCTTAAGACTTTAAATAGGATCCAATAATATTATCCAAGACAAGGACTACACACTTAAGTCACATTTTTTAAGAATGAAGCTTTTAAGGTACTGAAGAATAATGCTTTATTTCTTCTACAAGTAGTTTCTTGAGCAGTTACTGCATGCCAGGCACTAGGTGTGGAGTATACAAAAGAGAACAGGATCGGACATAGTCCCTGCTCTCCTAGAATCTAGTGGGGGAAAGGGCTTGAAACGAACCATCACGAACTGATCACTGCAAACTGAACCTCCCTGGGCTCAGACTCAGGGAGGGCTTTTCTGAGAAAGTGACGCTTGGGCTGGGAGCTGGAGGATGGAGTGGGCCTAGCTGAGGAAGAGCAATGGCAAGAAGGGTTCAGTACTCCAGATGGAAGGAACAGCATGTGTGACCCGGAAACGGGGGTGGAGGTGGGCAGGGAGAAAGAAGGGCACATTCAGGGAACTGCCAGGAGTTTGAGTCCTAGAGGGGAGGGCAGAGTGGGTGAGGTGAAGCCAGAGAGGACAGGGGCCAGAGCGCTGGGGCTGCAGAATAAGGGTTTGGGCTTTTATCCTGAGTCTGATGGGCACGGTTGAACTGCTTAGGCTGTCAGGTAACAAGACCGCACATGTGTCCTGCAGAGCTCCCTCTGGGTGCTGTGCTGCCTGGAGGGAACAAGACGGGGTGAGGGGCCACCAGTCAGGAGGTTCTTACGGCCGTCTCAGCCAAGATGCTGGTCCTCTCAGGTGCTCACCAAGCTCGTGCGTTCCCAGTCGGTACTCCCTAGGAGACCTCATCCTTAGGAGAGGGGGCCCGAGAGGGAGGGCCAGTCAGAGCGGGCCACCAAGGTGGGGGAGCAGGAGAACCCCGAGGCTAAGACCCACCTCGGTATATGTACGTCTCCTTACCTCAACGCCCAGGTCCCAGCCGCTTCTCTTGCCCTTGTGCAGCGTCTGGGCTAACCGCATGTTCCCTGCAGAGGGCTATGACCCCAGTGCCCTGGAAGCTGTCCAACTGGAAGATGGCTCCACCGCCTACATTCACCACCCCATGGCCGTGCCGTCGGATGGCACCATCCTGGCCGTGCAGACAGAGGTGGGCCTGGAGGACCTGGCCGCAGAGGATGATGAGGGCTTTAGCGCGGACACAGTGGTAGCCCTGGAGCAGTACACCAGCAAGGTGAGCTCTCTAGAGGGCAGGGCTAGTCCTGTGCCTGGACAGGACCAGGGCTACTCCCTGTGACCCCTCGCCTGGCTCCCCCGACTCACCTCTCACGTGTCATCTTCTTGGGCAAGCATCACAGCCTGGCTGGGGCTGCCAACAGCTGTGTACACTCATGCTTGTTTATGCGTCTCTGCAGAGGGAAGGCAGCTGTAAGAAACAGTGATACCCATACGGTGGGAATTTAGGCCTAGCTTCACTTTGGCTGCACTGTCTGAGAAAACCTTTGCCAGTGACTTTTATTAGTTTTCCAGTCCGCTGAGGTCAGATGTTCTTGTGTTTATTTCTTCTCTGCGACTCATTAAGTCATTTGGGAAAATAACCTCAGTAGGCAGTGACGAGAGCAGATGCATCAGAGCAGCTGGGATTCTTGGAACCCGGGGCTTGCACAGTAGCTCAGCTGTGAAGGAAAAGGATGTTGGCTTTCCAAACATTAGTCAGTCTAGGCTCTCTGCCGGGGCCGTGGTCCTGCCTGTAGGGGAAACTGGTTCAGAGATCTGAGAGCCTTCCAGACCAGGGTCCTCCCTCCCCGGCCGAATTGCAGCACCTCAGGGTGGATGTGGCAGAGCTTCCTGGAGCATGCATTTTACCTAGGGACTGGGGGAGTTGTTTTTATAATTAAACTAGTATGGCTATATCATGGAAGAGAAGAGGAAGTCCTTTTGTCTTTTCAAGTTGAAAAGACACTACAAAACTTTGCAGTAGGCCTCTCTGGGCTGTGCCCACTCCCACCCCTATGCTGTCAGTGTGTTTTAGAAGCTCACTGCTGTTGGAAAGACAGCCAGGCTTTAACTGTGAGCCCTGAAATCTGTGGCTCTGCGTCTGCCTCGTGTGGCCTCAGTCACTCTCCTCGGAGGCCTCCACTTGTTCCTATCTCATATGATGAGTTGGGGCCAGATGCTCTCAGAGGGTTGCTTCCAGCCCTGAAGTTTTTTGATTCCCTCAAGAACCAGTGGGACATGGGTGTAAAATATGAATGCCTGACTGGGTCAGCCTGCCGAGCAGGCCCAGCCACCTGTGACCCTTTCCTGCCACCCACCAGCTACTTGAGTGTCCAGGAAACTTTGTCAGATGCCTGACCCCTTGACCTGGAGCTGACTAGACAGACCCGCCATGGATTTGGCCTCCCTCCTTTGACTCCTGTTCACCACGCCTTCCAGAGTTCAGTTTCAAGAGCTCCTGGGAAGGCCACAGTGTCCCAGAAACAAAGACTAAGGGACAGTCCCAGCAGGACTCCGCCCAGGAAAGCAGAACAGTAAGGCTCCCTGGAGCCAGAGGCTGGTGTGGAATGGTTTTGGATAGGAGAAGGGGAACGGAAGGGCTTGTCAGTAGCCAGGTGCTGCAGGTAGAACTGGGCTTCTGTGGGACTCACAGGCCCCTGCCCTGGACACCTGTGCACTTTGTTGGTGTGGCCACCTCGCTTCTGGTGAGCCCAGGTGAGCTGCTCCCCATAGCCAGGCCCTTGGCAGTGCCCCTTCCAAACACAGGTTTCCCCAGGGAGGAAGGAATCTCCTCCCGTCAGAGGATAAACGTGTCCAGAGCGGCCGCCTCCATGGTTGATGGTCAGAAGGGGGGCAGCTGGCCCTCAGCCCAGCTCAAGTGTGGCCGTTGCGACCACTCCTGCCCCCACCTTACCTGCCCGTCTAAGAAATGCCCTTTCTCCCCAAGGTGTCAGAGCCCCAATGACATTTAGTCGTCTCTGTTTCCATCAGAGCTGGGTGGTGACTCCATTGGCCAGCCCTGTTTCTTCTGCAGCAGGCTCAGCGTCTGTTCCATCTGTCTAGCTCGAACACCCAGGTTGCGCTTCTCCCCCTTGGTAGGTTTAACCCTGTTTATTGGGTCTTAAACTGCCAGCTGGGCCCTGTGTCCCACCTCTTCCCTTCCTTCTTCGAAGAGAATACATATAGGGACCCCAAGATTTTTTTCCCTCAGGTTCTGCATGAGAGCCAGGCTCCTCATAATGGCAAAGGACAACAGGTTGGGGACAGAGCATTCCGCTGCGGATACAAGGGCTGTGGGCGTCTTTACACCACCGCGCATCACTTAAAGGTAAGGTGGCTGCAGAGAGCTCTCAGCCTTGCCGTCTTCCAGCAGGCTGTAATCCTGCCCTCCCGCTTTGACTGGAACTGGTCCCTGACCTTACGTTGCTCACTGCCTCCTGGAAGGAAGAGATGTGTGTACAGCACTGTCAGCGGGGGGGGCCATGACACACATGAAGGGAGTCAGGGGAGGCTCCCTGGAGGCGGCATCTCTGCTGAGGAGGGAGCAAAATAAAGGAGGCGGCCAGTGCTGATACTCTGGGCCCTGAAGAAACCACAGAGCCCATTCATACCCTCTCCCCTCTGAATGATGTGGTTGCTTGTCCTCACAGGTGCACGAGAGAGCTCATACTGGTGACCGTCCATACAGGTGTGATTTCCCCAGCTGCGGAAAGGCCTTTGCCACAGGTAACCTACCTGGATGGAGACCAAGGTGGACTGCTTCCAGTTGAGGGTTGAGGGTTCTAGATTAGCTCTGAATGTTCCCTAAAGGGAGCCAAGCACCAGGCTGCCTTCCAGAAGAAACTGCGGTCTCAGTGCTCCAACTGCAGGAAACCCTGTCATGGAGGCAAGAAGCAGCCCTGATAGAGACCAGTGGGGGGTGCCAGTGGTTGGAGGGGTTGCCTCCCTCTGGACTTCATTTTCCCTCTCAGTTGAGGCCCTGAGGTCATAGATTCTCCAGGTCTCCTTTTCCACGGGTTCTGGAATGGCGCCAGCTGGCCCTGGACAGGGCAGGGAGCAGGGACCGCTGCCCCAGCCCCACTTCTCTGCCCCGGCAGCGGCGGGACAGAGGCAGACACGGGCGCTCTGTGCCAAAGGAGGCTCAGAGCCTCTCGGGGCACACCTTAAGGGAGAGAGCCTCGGCCTTAGGAAGACGAGGTGGTGAAGACGAGGCCCGCCCTGTGCTCTTCTCACCCACGCCCCTCCCCCGGGGACAGGATATGGGCTGAAGAGCCACATGCGCACCCACACTGGTGAGAAGCCATACAAGTGCCCAGAGGAGCTGTGCAGCAAGGCCTTTAAGACCTCAGGAGACTTGCAGAAGCACGTCCGGACCCACACTGGTAGGCCGGGCCCAGCCCGCCCAGCCCAGTTATGACCTGGCCACTCCCCGGGGCTCACTGCTGAGCCGCCCTCACACAGCGGGTCTCCACAGGTGAACGCCCCTTCCGGTGCCCCTTCGAGGGCTGCGGCCGCTCCTTCACTACATCTAACATCCGCAAGGTACATGTGCGCACCCACACGGGCGAGCGGCCCTACACCTGCCCCGAGCCCCACTGTGGCCGCGGCTTCACCAGCGCCACCAACTACAAGAATCACGTGCGCATCCACACAGGTGGGCCAGCTGGCATGCGCGAGCCTCCCCCTCTGAGGCCCCAGCCCCCCTACCGAAGGCTTCTGACCTGAGACACCTTCTCAACACCTAGCCCAGAGGGTCATTGCAGGCTGGTCCATGGGTGGGGCACAGGGTCCCCCGGTTCCAGCTGTGCCCCCAGAACTGCTCTTTCACTTGCAGTGAGCAAGCAGTTCCTCCATTTCCAGTTGGGGCTGATCTGATGGGCACTGCTGGCCTTGTTAGCCCCCTGCCCCATCTACACCCACCTGAAATCCCCCCCTCCAGCTGAGCTCCCAGATAAAGGCCAGGGTCAGGCACAATGGGGAGAAAGCAGAGTGAAATGTCGTCTTCAGCTCCTCATGTCGTCCACTGTCCATGTGACTCCCGTGTGTCCTCACCCTTCCCCAGTGTTGCGTCCCTGTCCAGCTTCTGTGTCATCTCTCAGACACACGCATCCCCTCCCTCTGCCATCACACCTGGCATGTCCCCGTCAGCCACCCCCTCTGTCTCCTGCTGTTCACAGGCCCTGGTGCCCCTCACCAGCCCCTTCACTAGCCTCAGCCTTGCCCACCCCCCCACCCCCCCGGTCTTCTCTCCACCTTGTCTGCAGGCCCCGTGGTCCCACACTCACTCCCTCTGTCTCTGCCGCTGGCCACCTTCCCCAGCTCTGTCCCTTTGGAGTCCCAGATCCCAGTCCCTCTTCCTCCCTCTGGCTCTCTCTTCGCCAACCCTGTCCCTCACTCCTGCTCCCTTAGTTTCCCCCTTGCCAGCCCCAGGTCCCACCCCCCTCACAGCCCAGTGTCCCCAGGGGAGAAGCCATACGTTTGCACGGTGCCAGGCTGCGGGAAGCGCTTCACCGAGTACTCGAGCCTGTATAAGCACCACGTGGTGCACACACACTGCAAGCCCTACACCTGCAGCACCTGCGGGAAGACCTACCGGCAGACCTCCACCCTGGCCATGCACAAGCGCAGCGCCCACGGCGAGCTGGAGGCCACAGAGGAGAGCGAGCAGGCCCTTTACGAGCAGCAGCAGCTCGAGGGTGAGGGGTGTGGGCAGGAGGTGAGGGGACAAGCCAGGCCTCCCCATGACCACCTGGGGGCAGGTGTCAGCCCAGGCTCTCCTCTCCCAGCCGCCTCTGCAGCCGAGGAGAGCCCGCCCCCCAAGCGACCCCGCATTGCTTACGTGTCGGAGGTGAAGGAAGAGGGCGATGACCTCCCTACCCAAGTGGCTATGGTGACCGAGGAGGACGGGGCCCCCCAGGTGGCTCTGATCACACAGGATGGTGCCCAGCAGGTACAGGCCAGGGGGCGAGGGGTGGGTGGGCCCCTCTGGCAGGTACTCCCTCCCTCTTTCTCTGGGGAGCTCTCTCTGGGGAGCTCCAGGTTCTAATAGCCCCATCTTCACCCAGGTTCTCTTTTTTGCCCTTGTGGATCTCAAGAGCCGAGGCCGAGGCTACCAGCTCCCTGTGACACAGGCCTCCTGCTCCTTCTGCTCGTGCGTCCAGCTCAGTCTCGGGGGCTTCTGGAGCACAGCTAGTAGTTTCCCTTTTTACTTGAGGGCTGACAGGTCCTGTTTGTCTGGGTCAAACACTTGGATGTCCTCCTCCAGAGAGGCACGTTGGTGTATGGGCCAGAGCATGGGGTGGTATCTGGAAGCCCGGGCTTTCTCGCCAGCAGTATAACCTGACCTTTGTCTGCACTCTCACCGGCAAGTGCACCTATGACTCTTAGAGTTGATATGAGAATGAAATTGGGTAGAGACCCTGAATTGCATGGAACAGAGCCCTGAGGCAAAGTGGTGGTGAATACACGTGGTCAGCAGAGTTCTTCCAGTGTAGCCTCTCTTTGCAACCAGGGCCATTTCACTTGCTTGTCCTGACCCCTCCTCCTGTGACAAGAAGCTGATCCTCTAGTCTACCAGTAGGCAAACCTGAACGAGCAGGTCCATCTGCCTAGGGGCTTTCAGACAACCCTCCCCTCCGCTCCTAGCTCATCTTCCTCCTTCCTATTGGCAGGTCAGCCTGTCCCCAGAAGACCTGCAGGCCCTGGGGAGCGCCATCAGTATGGTGACCCAGCATGGCAGCACCACCCTTGCCATCCCCAGTCACGACGATGACCTTGCCACCTCTGGCACACACACAGTCGCCATGGTCAGCGCCGATGGCACCCAGACACAGCCCGTACGACTAGGCGGTTTGCTTGGAATTCTTCCTCTCTTGTCCTTTCTTTCTGTGGGACGGGCCTTAAAGTGCGGGCTAAATTAGTCCAGCCTTCTTAGGAGGGCCAACATTCCCACAGATAAAGTGTCTTACCTACAACTCCTCTGGGTCATCAGCAACTCTCCTTTGTTGACAAGCATTGCTCTGAGAGTCGAGACAGTTTGCTTGCTGCCATAGGCATGTTGCATGTTACTTTTCCATGAGCTTTAGTCCATTTTCAAATGAGAATATTAAGTTACCTCTGGGGCCTTTTACAGCTCTGTCCTGTGGCTCAAAATTCATAAGTTGGCTATAAGTTAAAGAAACATATAGCCCCCACTTAGGGCTTCCTTGGTAGCTCAGTCAGTAAAAGAATCTGCCTGCAATGCAGGAGACCCAGGTTCGATTCCTGGGTTGGGAAGATCCCCTGGAGAAGGAAATAGCAACCCACTCCAGTGTTCTTGTCTGGAAAATTCCATGGAAGGAGGAATCTGGTGGGTTCTAGTGCATGGGGTCTCGAGTCGGACACAACTTAGCGACTAAACCACCGCCACCACTACAACCCCCGCTTAGCTCTGAGCCCCAAGCTAGTTCATTAATCTGACTCATCATGATTTTATTCATTTCCTTCTGGGTTGTTCCCAGCCACATTGCTTGAAAGGATTTTTTTGGATTGGGGGTTGGGAGAATAATGTAGGTAGGTTGGAAAACCTCGTTCTTAATATTATTTCAGGTCACAATCATTACCTCTGGGACTGTGGTGGCTGAGGACTCAAGTGTAGCATCCCTTCATCATCAGCAGGTGGCGCTGCTGGCCACAGCCAACGGAACTCACATTGCGGTGCAGGTGAGGAGGCTGGGGGCTGGAGAAGCAGCAGGAAGGGCAGGGGCACTCGGTGCAGGACTAGGAGAGGACGCATTCGGGTCTGAAGGTGCCCATTTCAGAGGACAAAGCCTTTCCTGCCCGCATCCACACACCTGTCTCAGGCTCAGGCTCTTCCTTCACTGAGGCAGGGTGGGGAGCCCCTTCTGACCTTCATGGTAACTTTCATGGCAGTCTGCCTTGCAGTCTCAACCCTTCATTTCTTCGTGTCCCTGTTCCTTCATCTGGAAAATAAGGGGGCTGAAGTATATGATTATTCCAACCCGCCATTCCCCTGCCATGAGCAAGCTGCTCTGTCTGACCCTGGACCGTTCCATGGCTCCTCACCATGCCTAGCCTGAAAGGGTTCTATCAGTGAACTTCCTGTTTCCTGGGGCCCTACTGAGTGCTCAGGTGTGTGTGACATTGGGTAGGTGGAGGACATTCAAAAGAGTAGACCACATACTCTACCACTGGGACCTGGGAGGGAGGGTCTCACTTTCTCCCTCCTTCTCCACAGCTGGAGGAGCAGCAGACCTTAGAGGAGGCCATCAGCGTGGCCACCGCTGCCATGCAGCAGGGGGCGGTGACCCTGGAGACTGCAGAGTCGGAGAGCAGCTGCTGAGCCCAAGGGCTGGGTCCCACACTGCGCTGAAGGAGGTGCCGGGCCGCACAGGCATCCTTGCCTCCAAGGGCCCAGGCTGTGGCTGACGTGCAGGTGGCCGCACAGGCCTCTGGGGCAAGAAGGCAGCAGGAAAACGGCCTGAAGGGCACGGGAGCCCTGCCCCCAAGGAGGGCCGGGCAGCTGGAATCGGGGGCGTGCATCTTCCTCAGGAGCTAAGGAGGACAAGCTTGATCAGCAGGCTGCACTGGGGTGTCCTCCCCCCAGAATCAGCTGAGCACCTTCTCTCCTCTCTGGAAAACACCCATCCTGCCCTCGGTCCATCCCCCTTCTCAGGTGGCGATTGGGGCTGCTCTTGGGACTGGTCCTCTACTCCCAACTGGTCATTGCCCACTCTGGGAGCAGTCAGACAGCTCTTCCGCCCAGTAGGGGCAGAGCGGGCCCAGCCCTGCCCCTCCCAGCAATAAACACCTCCCCGGAGGCCAGCCAAGGTGTCTGGCCCCTTGGCAGCAGGGACTTTCTGCCACCACAGTCAGAATCGCTCAGGGGCCCGTGGCTGGAGAAAGGTGCCCAGCCCCACGCCCACCCCAGCTGCTCCCCAGCCTCTCCACAGCTGTGGCAGAGAGGCCAGGAATGACTGTACATACTGGGGATCGGGTGTAATTTGTTTTATTTTTTTTAACTGCATTTTGATAATTTTTTTTCCTGCTCTGGATGGTGGTGGCAAATGGGTGAATGAGTATTTAATAAAAGTTCCAAGTTTCCACCTGGGTCTTTCCTCCCTTCTTTCAGCTTTGGGCCCTGGTGCCAGGGCTGGTCAAATCAGGTTCTTGGCCCTATATCCGAAGCGCAGACCTCACTCAGGTGCAGACCTCACTCAGCCTCAGTGTTGGACTGGGGTGCCTGCCTCCCAGGAGTCCCGGGGAAGGAAGCCCTAATGTGAGAGAAACCCCAAGGAGTGGCCGGTGGCTTCCTGCCCACAGCTGAGCAGCTGGGCTCCGAGTAGCCAAACAAGGCCAGTGTGACCACTGCTTCCAGGCTCTGGTTGGATCTCAAGCCTCAAGATGAGTAGGCTGAAGGAACTCTGTTTTTTTCTACCTTGCTTTGTGATATGTCATCACAGCCCCTCCAGACCCAACCGCTTCTCCACACACAGCACACAGTCCACTGCTCAAGTCAGGAAAGCCCCACGGATTGGGGGTACCCTTGCCAAGGCACCCAAGATTTCTGATGGCTCTGCTGTCCTGGTGCTGAAGTGCCAGCTTTGATACCCAGCTCTGGGGGTACCCACCTAGATGTCTGGGACCATGCTGTGGAAGTCCAAAGACACAGTCAGAGTCTACTGAAAAGTATGTGGTAGGACTGGACCAGTCCCGGCGGGAAGGACAGAACGCAGGAAAGGGAGGTGATGGAAAGAACACGTGGGTTTGACCCCTCCTGCTTGGGAGCATCACAGGGATTGGAGGTGGAGGTGTCTTTTCCTCTCCCCACTGTCACGGGTATGCGCCGCCTCCCCTAACACAGGCATCCTCTCTTAGGATGCCTAGCAAACTCTCTTTTGTACCTGCTTCTTGGAAGGACAGGTGCTGGGGCATGCCCCCGGGTAGGGGCGCTTCAGTTACCTTCAACATCCAAGGCCACTGTTAGTGGCAGGAGTATGTGCCAGCCCTCACAGGTACTGAGTCTAAAGAAACAGAAGCACTGATGTCCCCACCCTGGGTCCCCAACCTCCTGCTCCCAGTGCCCTGGAAGCTGGGCCCCACCATGGGGCTCAACCCATGAGCCTCAGAGTCTCTGGGTCAGAGCCACTAGGCCCCAGAGGGGGCAGTCCTCTGCGTGCCTTGTCAGAGCCAAGGCCAGGTGATAAGGGAGCAGCTAATCACGTGCCAAGTCCTCTCGACCTAGAGAGGTGCTCTGGCCCAGTTCCTCCTCCAAGTTCGTATTGGTGGTAGGAGGAGCCCCACCACCACAGTAGTGTTAGATGTCCTTAAAAGAGATGCTTTATCCAGAGCCTACTCCAGCTTTATGTCCATCCTCAGACCTCTTTACAATCTATGAGGTGAGCATTCCTCCTCTTTACCAATGAGAAGCTGCTTGAAGAGGTTATGTTACTCATCCAAAGCCTCCCACCTGGTAAGTGTGGGGTTGGTACCAGACCTGCCCCTTGCTGTCTGACTCCAAAGACAGCTGCCTCTGGGGGCCGAGGAGGCTTGGGGGCTGAGGAGGCTCCCAAAGGGCCTCACGCTCAGGGAACCAGGTTGAACAGAGCTGGGGCCATAGCTCCCCAGGGCTTGGTCCCCAGTCGCAAGCAGAGAGCGGGGCTGCTGAGCCACAAGCTGGGTCCTGCCAGCGCGGGAGCCCGCGAGAGCAGGCAGGTGGAGCTCTCGGTCCGCGCCGCGGCCCTGCTGCGGTCTCTGCTGCCGTTTGCATTTCCTGAAACCGGATCTTGGTGTCAGAGCCGCCCCTGGGCCGGGCGGGCGCCTCAGCCATGGCCCTGCGCAAGGAGCTGCTCAAGTCCATCTGGTACGCGTTCACCGCACTGGACGTGGAAAAGAGCGGCAAGGTCTCCAAGTCCCAGCTCAAGGTGAGAGGCACCCGGGGCGCGGGGAGGCCGGCGGACGCGTCTCAGCAGCCCCCGCTTCCTGGGCTCTAGGCGCGAACTCTGCGCTCCTCCAGGGGCACCCCAGCTAGCCAGGGGCCCAGGAAGGGTGGGGGGCCAGTGCTGGGTAACTGGGGTGACATGGCCTGGTGGATGCTGCTGCCCACCGTCCAGAGGCTCCAGTGAGGGGTATGCAGGGCCATGGTCCAGAGCCCCGACCCAAAACTCTCAGGAGAGAGGCGGCATCATGGGGTTCTGAGGGCCACGAGCCAAGCTACATCCCAGATTCCATGTGATGAGCACACGTCTCCCCAGAGTCAAGCTTGGGCATGCACCTTACTCCTTCCTGGTGCTTCCTCCTGGCTTTGAAGAGAGACAGTTAGCTAGCACTTGTCAGTCACTTCCTCCCAGAGTTGAGAGAGAGGGTTCAAGAGCCTCTCACGGCCCCAAACCAGGCAGCTCAGTCCCCCTCGGCAGGAGAGCATCTACTCTGCACCCTGCCTCCTAGGCAGGACAGACCTGGGAAGGAGCAAGGACTGAAGACCCCATCATACTGCTGCCCGTTCACCAACCCCCTCATGCCCACCAGGTTGGGAAACTTACCTTAGGCCTTGAGACCTCTAGCAGGGAAGGAGTGGAATCTGAGTCCAGGAAGAGCCCCATCAGTGATTGCCCTGAAGTTCATTGCTTGGTCCTAGATAATTCCTGGGAGACCAAAAAGTTTCTCTCCTGCCGTCCTGGGTTAGTGCTGCCTTCACCCTCGTTAGTGGGCAAGAAGCCAGGCTCTAGGCCACTGGAGCCAGGGGACACAAGGAGACAGGATGAGGGAGGCCTCAGCCCTCTGGGATCTGCCTTAGGGGTTCATTCATTCACTCTACAAATATTATTGAGCACCAGGTATGCGCCTGGCATGAGGCTAGGCCATAGACTCCTGTATCTTTCCTGCCGCCTTCCGCCCCGGAAAGGTCTCAAGGAAACCTCCATTCTAAATGACTGAGCAGGAGGTGCCTGGAAACCCAAGAGACAAATTGGATGGCATTGTTTCCCCTCCCTCTACTTTGCTGAACTTGGACATAATGAACTTGGATATCCCAAACTGGTCCTATCTGATAATTGACCCCTTAGCCAGACTTGTGAGCCTCTAGTAAATGATTCTTGGCTCTCCTAGGAAGGAGAGTCCATGACCACCTTTGATCATCCGAGAGAATCTCCCAAGAGGCAGGTTCTTCCTCACATTCTACTTAAATCCTCTTATTGCAGGTTATGTAGTCTAGTGAGCTCTGCAGGGCAGACAGAGGAAAAGCAGATCATCCAAAACCCATCTTTACAGAAACTCCATGTCCTATATCCGCCTCCCATGTTGCCCCTTTAATATCTTTCAGGAACAATCCCAACCTCCATAGTCTGTTGTCTCCATTTTCCACCACTCCATTAGCTGTGGCCCCTGTGACAGCTCCAGGCTCTCTATTTCCCTCATAAATGGAAGGTACTGCACTCAGATTTCCTGAGCCCACTAGGCAGTAAGGCTTCTTAGTTGGAGCTTCTGTCTTGGCCTCTAACTGGGCAGATGCCTGTTCCCCACCCCCACCCATTGAGTATTTACAAGGAAGATTGCATGGGGAGGATGCAAAATCTAACCATCCATCCACTGTCTTTGTACCACATCACAGCTCACAACAAGCCCACCCAGCAGCTTCTGCGGTCACACAGAATTAGTGGTAGATTTCAACCCATCAACAGAAAACGTGTCCATTCTGGGAACCTGAGTAGCAGTGGTAGTCTCAGGCCCAGCGGCAGGTGGACCAGAAACTGCAGAGCCCATTTCATAGGAGAGAAAGATGAGGAAGGCAGTTCTCCCACCAGCCTATGATACTAGAGCCTAGGATGGGAGGAAGTAGTGATAGTGCTGGGGGTGGGGATGCCGGAAAGGCAAAAGAGCAATAGAGAAGTGGTCAGAAGGCAGAGGAAGAAGCAGATGACAGATAGAGACCAGCAGGGCATACTCCCTAACCAGAAAGACTGGGTGAGAAGGGAAAAGACCTCAGGGTCAGCCTGTCCTCACCAAAACTGTCCCTGGCCTTGGCACCCTCTCTTGGGAGGAGGCCAGAGGACCTGCACCAGCCCAGAGCAAGCTGGGACAGTCACCCACTTCTCTCCGACATATTGGCAGAAAGGCTGCCACCGGTCATCCTGGGCAGAGCTGTGATGGGGCCAGAAGGAAGAGGAAGAACAGCAAGTCCTCTGAGTAGTACCCCCAAAGGAGTCAGGATTGTCTTCTCTGAAGAAGAGAAGGCTTGGGGGAGAGATCAGATGAGTTTTTCCTTCTCTGAATTCTTATAGAAAGTACCATAGCTTTTGTCCAGATAGGTGGGAAAAAAAATAAAAATAGATCAGTAGGAATGGCACTTCTGCTCAGAATGGATTTAGGCTGAACACAGGAGCTAAGGACTCTGAGCTTTTGAAGGGCCCCCAAAACTTCCCTCTCTGAAGAGCTTTAGGAGTGAGTACCCATCCTGACAGAGGGCTGCAGGGAGGGGAGCCTCGGGAATGGTGAGTTCCCCAATGTCCACACCGTTTCCCCTCCAGAAGCAGCTTTAGGCTTCATGGGTGATCAGCTGAGAATTTGGCTTCCTCACCCCCTGACTGCCAGGCCCAGGGTGAGGGGCCTGAGACTGGGTGTGTGGTTAGAGCAGTGTGTGTGATGAGGATCCTAGGAGGCCCTACCTCTTCCCCTTAACCAGCAGGAGCAGAGGCAAGGCAGGGAGGGTGAACTGGGGCCTTTCCTACCTGACTGTGGGGTCCCAGAATCCTGAGCCTCTAGTTGGCACTCAGGGCAGTCCTGGGGCCCAGGGAGGAAGTCTTGCCCACCGAGAGCCCCTGAGTTTCGGGCTCTGCCTCCTCTGGAGAGGGACAACAGCCTTCCCCTATGTGCTGCTGCTGCTTTAGACGTGTCCAACTTGGTGCGACCCTATGAACTGCAGCCTGCCAGGCTCCTACGTCCACGGGATTCTCCAGGCAATATTACTGGAGTGGGTTGCCACTGCCTTCTCCAGCAGATCTTCCTGACCCAGGGATCAAACCCCGGTCTCCTGCGTCGCAGGCAAGATTCTCTACCGCTGCCCACCAGGGAAGCCCTCCTCTAGGTGAAGGGAAGTTAATAACTGCAGTCCAGGAATCTGATGACAGATCCTCAGCTTTGCCCAAACCTCTGCCTGCTGTGGTCTTCTCAGTCTAGAGTGTGAAGGAGGGAAGGATGATTAAGTGATACAGAGCCCTTGACTCACAGCCATACAGGCCAACATCTATATTGCAGGGTGACCTTAGACAAGTCACTGCCCAGCTCTGAGCTATAAAGCCCAAGGGCTGAACTGGGGATCACCAAGCTCTCCAGCTAGACTAGGAAAGTAAATTTTAACAAAGTATATCAAGCAGGTGAAACTGATCCTGACACAGCCTCCCCTCTCCGCTTCCTTCTCTGAGCCTCCATCTTTCCTTTGATGCCTACACCCAATCCCTCCAGCCCCTTCTTGCTCTCAACAGGCACACAGCCAATCCAGAGATCCTCCCCTTTTAAAATGCCTGTGCTCCTCCCTCATGATAGTAGTTTTGCTTTAGTACCCACTGGTTGAGAAAAATATATTCAGTGACTCTTAAAAAGAATCTATAAATTTTACAAGAATCACTTAGCACCTGGATACATGTAAAGACTACAGGCCATGTAAAAGAGAGAAATTAGTCATTCTCTTTGCAGTTAGTGATTGGTACTTTTAAGGATGCCCAAACACTCTGTATCTTCATCTCCTTCTGAAGTCTAAGAACTACAGGATCATGGGCCTGGCACCCATTGCATCACTGCACTTGAGTTTTTAGCGAACTTCCCAGGTAGCGCCAGTAGTAAAGAACCCACCTGCCAATGCAGAAGACTCAAGAGACACAAGTGCGATCCCTGGGTTGGGAAGATCCCCTGGAGAAGGAAATGGCAGGCCACTCTAGTATTCTTGCCTGGAAAACCCTATAGACAAGCCTGGTGGGCTACAGTCCATGGGGTCACAAAGAGTAGGACATGACTGAGTTGCACACCACACCACACACACACACACACACACACCCCACATGCCCCCAGGGGAGAACCACTCCCCCACACGCCTACCGAGGAAATAGTGAATCAATGATGCCTCTCAAAGGTCAATGGCTGCCAACCCAGAGGTCAGGGGCTGCCTGGGTGGGTGGGGGAGACAGAGAACCTTCTCCGGGGGAGCCTGAATGGCAACTTGTGAAAACTGCAGACACCTGGACCCCACCCCTGGAAACTCTGAGTCAGTAGGTCTGGGCGGGCCCTGGCAGATTTCAGTTTCAACCAGCTCCCCAGGTGATTCTGATGCTTAATCTGAGCCCACGGAGCATAGAGATCTAGTGTAGGGCTTTAGGGTCAGCCCTTGACTCTAAAGAAGACACTTCAGCTCTCTGAGCATCGGTTTCCTCCTCTGTAAGAGCAGGATAAGGAGCGTCCCCGCCTCCAGGGCTAAGGAGTGATTGAAATCGGCAGGTGACTGCTGCGCACGCTCCCGCCGCCGTTTCCTTTCCAGCAGGACCCTCCTCTGGCCACGCCCTCTGCCCGCCCCCAGCCCCTTTCCTCCCCTTCCCCGCCCCATCCCCTGCGCCCAGGCACAGGAAGCCTGGCAATCTGAGGTCAGCTGATGTCTCCAGGGAGAGGCCTTGAATCCTCAGTGTCTGGAGCCTTTGATTCCTCTTTGTCCTGATATCTCACAGGGGTCAGAGCCTCTGCCCGGGGCTCCTCAAATTCAACTGGCACAAGGTACCAATGACAGAGGTCTTAGAGGACAGCGTGGGCCAGTGAAGTGAGGAGAGGAACAGTTCGGACAGCTATGTCCTGCTGGGTGGCAGCTCCTGTCCTGGGGTGGGAGAGGAGTTCTACAAAGTCTCCTTGAACTCCATTTTTAGAGGTGTGAAAACTAAAACTTAGC